ATATATTTAAAATATATTTTTACTGATTTCAGAGAGGAAGGGATACTCCAACCCCCGTCACCCCTGGGAGCCAATGCCCCTCACTGAAGGGGTGCAAAGGCCCTGCCCCTGGCCTTAGGTCAGGACAATATTATGGTGTGACCAGACGCTTAGGCTTTACCTGAGCCCGGTCTGGATGGCCCCGTAGCCCCGCCCCCTCCAGGTATCTGCTGAGGAGCCTCCTGCAGTAAACCACGCTCCTTCACTCATGAATGTGTTAAATAAAATCCTTTCTTTCCCACGATAAAGACTGTCACCCAGAAACACATGTTGGACTGGCTTTCTTGGAAGCCTAGTTCTCTCACCCATTTGAAATAAAACCTTGACAGGGACACACAGTTCAATGGGAGCAGTTTTCGTACTGAATAGCTCCAACCCTTTTCCTTGACCCAATCCACCCTGGACCAAGAGTCCCAAGGGCTTTCAAACCCCAGGCCTCTTCCCATCAGGAGTGAACTTGTAAGAATTCAAAGTCTGGCCCTAGCCGGTTTGGCTCAGTGGCGAGAGCGTCGGCCTGCAGACTGAAGGGTCCCAGGTTCAATTCCTGGTTAGGGCACGTGGCTGTGTTGAGGGCTGGATCCCCAGTGGGAGGCATGCAGGAGGCAGCCAATCAATGATTCTCTCTCATCATTGATGTTTCTATCTCTCTCTCCTTCTTCCTTCCTCTCTGAAATCAATGAAAAAAAAAAAAAGAATTCAAAGCCTGGTCTAGAAATCGTCTTTTACCAACAAGGGAGCCACAATGTGTCATTCAAGGGTGCAGCATCATGGATCTTTCATGAACCACAGCCTCTCTCCTCCTGCCTCCTTTCCGGGCTCATGGATCAGGTACCCACACTGTTCCTAACCGGTCGGCCATGAATCAGCATTGTTCCTTCCTCACATTCCTGTTTCTAAAGCAGCAGATTCGGAGGATTTTATTAGGTTTGATCAAATAATCGAATCGATTCTCCTTCCCCTGGGAAACTGACCTTTAGATCATTTCGCCACCAACTTCCCTTTTGCTTAGACCCCATCCCATCTGCTAAGACCAGTATCGCTCCCCTCCGGACTTGCCCAGGACCCAGACCCACACAGAGAACTCCCCACCGAAAAGCCCGCCAAGCGTCCTTTAAAACCTCCGACCCCCTGTGCCTGGGTGCTGGTGCCATTTGGTGCCGGAAGCCGTTCCATCCTTGCTGCTTGACACAGTCACTACAGGGAAGAAACATCTGCACAGCATATGTTCCAAGGGACCTGGCGTATATGGCATAGTGTTCTTAATATGTTTGCTCCCCTTCTTAGCGCTATGTGTTCTAACCAGGGCCGCCTCCCTGAGAAAGGTTGTTTCCCCAGGTGGGGATATTTCCCTGGAGTTAGGGATTAACGGGACTAGGGAAGGGAATAAATCAGTAAAACCCCCTTGTGTTACAGAAATACCGTGTACTACTTATGAGGAACTTAGACTAAGACTGTTAGCAATAAATTTAGGACTTGCTAGGCCAGTGTTGGCGAACCTTTTGAGCTCGGCGTGTCAGCATTTTGAAAAACCCTAACTTAACTCTGGTGCCGTGTCACATATAGAAATTTTTTTATATTTGCAACCATAGTAAAACAAAGACTTATATTTTTGATATTTATTTTATATATTTAAATGCCATTTAACAAAGAAAAATCAACCAAAAAAAATGAGTTCG